GCTGCCTTGGAACTTATACTCGTCCGGCAATTCCTTGCTTTCCAACTTCTGCAATAATGTACGTGCATTATGAACTTTGGTTTGTGTACGTTATATATTTGTTTTACCAAAACTTTATTTTTCTTCTCGAGATAATTATGTGGGAAATTTTTAGTTAAATAAACGGCGAGTCGACTGCGTCGCCTTCGGCAAGGTGAAGTAGTCTACCAAAGGCGGCAGACGACTCGGCGATAATGGGCTATTAGTCAAGACGTGTTCAAATTCAGCAGGAAAAATCGCAATCTAAAATCCTATGGTCTAATAGTCTGACGTATCCAAGGATTATATTGGTACACTTTCGTATAAACACCAGGCACATTCTCCATCCCACATGGAGTTGGTCCAAAACTGACAATCCCCACAACTTCAAAGAACTTGTTTCCTTTAGGGTTCTCCCACATGAGAGGACCTCCCGAGTCTCCTTTGCAGGAATCTTTTCCCTCCTCACCACCAGCGCACATTTGACCCTGCCAGAGGTCGACTTTGCGGCGGGGGACGGCGTACACGGGTTGGCAATCCTGTAAAATATAGGTAAGTTTTATGGATATGTTGTTTGGGAGTGAAAACCTTACACGTCTAATAATTGATTGTTTCTTTTTTATACAGAATACCTCGGGAATGTTGATTTTGATCTTGCTCATTGTGTAAAAATGTGTTTCTTGTTAAATGCACAAAACTATGATCACCACACAGGCTAATGAAATCTCTCGTGGGCAATATTGCGAACAATCAGGTCCGTGTCAGGTTCTTGTACCAGCAATCGAATCCGGTGCCTCTAATAGGATGTATATAGTTTTCAATTGTCGTTAGGGATATCAAATCGCACTCACAGAATAAGACACAAACGGTAGCTGCACATCCAACTTAACGTTACTCTTGCTATGAGTTTCATTGACAGCGCCCCATCCAGCCGCAATCATCTGCCAGCCGACAGGTGGCGTCAAGGTCACATCGGATGTTGGTAAGCAGATTGGACGAATAAATTCTGAAATGAGGACACTTTATTGCTATGTTTGAAAAACTCAAAGCCGCTATTACATATAACCAAAAATTTAGTTGAAGGTGGTTGATTTGGACAGCAGCATGTAGCAAATGGAGTAATTGGGATAGCTCAGTTAGTGTATATGCGATTCGCAAAAATAAGGTTATAATAAAATTCTCAACATGTTTGTTGAGACCAACATGATTAACTTTGATGATTAAATATCACTAGTTTTCAAGTTAAAGGAAATTATGGTAATTTGTCAAAGACAAGATTGACTCTTGGATATGTTAAGCCTCACGGATGATAAACTACATAATTATATAGCTAGTGTTGGGTCATGGAAAAATGTCCATTTTGAAAAAAAAAAAACAATTCCAATATTTTTCCTTAATTTTTCACATTTGACGTTAACACCTGTCAAAAGTTAAAGAGGTTTTTTCAATGTTGTGAAGTAATTTAAAATCTCGTTTTTCTTTACGTGACTTTTAACTATACAAATTTGTTTTATAATTCACGCCATATAAAACTTCGAAAGATGTTTCTAAACGTAGAACATAATATGAGCCTTCGGAATTATATTGTTCGGGAATTCTTCCGGTAAAATTTCCACTATTTGAATTTTTTCTGTCATGTCACATGCACACAATGCCACAACGATCTGTCCTGCGCCGCCGCTTGCATCCAGTGGATTCCCGCTATACTGTAATTATTGCCATTTATAAAAACTTTCTTTTGATTAAGCCACACAGAAACGCTCATTAAATATGGTAAATATTCGGTTATAGTTACAACTTACCGGTGTAAGGCGCCGATTCCCTCATCCTGATTAAGGCAATATCATGTCTTCTGGTCGTTGTATCTTGAGGCTTGTAGTCCGGATGTGGGATGACCTTTTCAATAGGTATGATGACAGGGCCTTTTGTGCAATCGTCACCACCTGAAGAAGCAGGTATGCAGTCTGCCTGGCTGACGTCATTTGATGTGTCATATTCGCCTAGACGCACGTTACGGCTGGAATAAGTTAAATATTAATCTTTATTACAATGCCACAAACATGAGTTACAAGCATATACCCAAAATTACAATAGATGGTAAATACTAAAACGCGAGTAAAGAAACAAGAAACAGAAGATCAAGCACATTTAATTCAACAAATAATTTCAAGTATGGATCTAACAATGAAGTAGCAATAATCGCACACACTCAACAACTAGGGAAACTCTGCGCCGCGGGTGCCATGGACACACACATAAACAACCACAAATTACACCCAAACGTACGAGAGAAATAAATGTAGGCCATACAAATATTTCTTCCGGCCCGGGAATCGAACCTGGGATCTCTGCGTGGCAGTCCGGCATGGTAACCGCTCGGCCACGGAGGCAGTTAATTGAATGTCCATTACAACCTTTTGCAGTTACAACTAAACAAGTTCGACAAATAAATCATCATCAACAACCCTTGAAACATTTCGCTGGGCACGGGTCTTGTCAAAGGTTTGATCTATATTCCGCCACACCTCCCAATTAGGGTTGGGAGGAAATCTAGACGTAAACCTGGAAGGCTTGCGTCTAAATTTTATTACGTTTTATATCATGTTCTCCGACGCTGTCAGCGAGAGGTATTTACAACTAAACATTAACATAGATTTACGTATCTTTGAAATTGTACTCAAGCTGTCACAGAGATTGGTTTCGTCGCTCAACCTAATTGAGAACCAATCCGAGTTTAGCAGCGGAGGCAGTATGTTATGTATGTGGAGGTATTATGTTTTTATTAACATGATTTTATTCTCATTCTTCTCTTTCATATTTGAAGAAACTTTTATAAGTTTCTCACATGTGGCGCTGACTTCAAAAAAGGAATTGTTGAATAATAATGAAGTAAGCTTTTTCTTGAGGGCGATGCTCATCAAGAGACTATCAACCTATCTAAGATTCTTTTATACACTTGGTCACTTACGGAGTACCAGCACGAAGCACTGCTCCAACAACGCAATGCCCAGCAGTGAGTACGTATCGGTCGCTGATAAGAGCCCCTCCGCAGAGAAGCTTGATCTTATTGTTCTTCGAGTATTCGATGAGGACTAACCAGGGATATTCGTCTACGCCTGTTTCGGTGCCGCCTGAAATATATAGAATCGTAATGTATCGAAAACTGAGACTTATGATGACTGGGTCAGTTTTCAGGTAAGTACATTAGACTAGAAATTAAAGTATCTATCTATTTATTGCACTTGAACTTGCACTCCGTAAATAGGTTTTCTGTATGGGATACGTATTACATCTCTACGACTAATGATAAACTCCGGGCATTGGGAGGAGGTTCTGGTTCCGATTTCTAAATTCAATTTTAAAAATGAACTTTCTAAATTGATACGATGTTTGTGTTTTGGGCAGTTTCCCCTTCTCCGAGTGGAGTGTTGCTCAAATAGGTCCTTCGTAATATAATCGACAGTATCTTTATATTAAAACATTACTAACAGGAGTCATTACATCGACGTTTGGTCATCGTCCTATTTAAAAGTCATTTAAGATTCATAGTCAACTCCTTGACCTCTTTATAGCTGCTCTCTTTCACGTTCTTCTTTATTTCTTCGCTTTACGCCTTTCTTGGTTTTCTTCTCTTTTTCTTTGTATCTTTCTCTCAATTATTATAACTCTCACAAATTCGTCATTACGAAACAAATATCCAAACATTCTTTTTTTTACAAGATGTTTTTCTTACCTAACTCTTTTTAATTGATATTTTCTCAATCCGTTGTTTGATCATATTATCATAATACGAAATATGTTTAACATGTTGGTTATCTGATTTAAAATCAAGTTTTTACTTTGACAATCTTCTTCTTGTTGCGGTGTCATCTCCTACTGGAGGTCGGTTATCATTAGGGCTATCTGTATTTTAGACACAGCTGCACGGAATAAGGATCTTGTGCTCAAGTTGAACCATGACCGGAGATTCTTATGCCACGAAGTACGCCTTCTTCCAGGTGGTCGCCTTCCCTGTATCTTTCCTTGCATAATTAGCTGGAGCAGATCGTATTTATCATTACACATTATATGACCAAAGTACTGTAGTTTGCGTTTTTTGATAGTACTCAAGACCTCTTATTTCTTATTCACCATCTGCAATACTGTTTCATTGGATACTCTATCCATCCACGATATTTTTAAAATTCTTCTGTAGACCCACAAAGGCTTGTAAGCGGTTGCTCATATTTTGAGTTAAGGTCCAGGATTCTACGCCATACAGAAGTACCGAAAACACGTAGCAATGAGCCAGACGCATCCTGGTAGAATCTTCAAGGATCGATTGCAGAGTAGATGACTCAACTTTAGAAATGCGTTACATGCTGGTTCTACTAATCGACATTTGATCTCCACGCTATGATCACATTGGTCTTCGTTGGAGGTCACTTTGACAATGTGAATAATTAAATTGGAATATCACGAGAAATGTATAAGTAATACGTACCTATAATCCTGTCTGGCAAAGCAACATGCTGTCCACAACAGCCTGAAGCAGGGTCAGGAGGCGCAATACCAGGTTGTCCATTACAGACGGTGTTTGGTTTAAAGCTCAGGTCTGGAGGTGGACCACAGCACACGCTGTAGGGGTCAGTGGTTTCACATCTGGAAATTTTGAGATTTATTTTGTGTAGAGGTTCATTCTAAGGAGGCAGGCCGGGCCAGTTTCGTGAGATTGGGTGTCTGCAATTTCTAAAATATTTTTCCTAAAGTTAGACACAAATTTGTCAATCTTTTGAAATAAAAAGATGATAATATTATGGCAAACTCACTTTGAGCTCCTAGAAAATTCGCACTTAGTCTAGTGAGAATAGGCTTGGAAGTATGGAAGGTCGCATGGACGTTTGACAGAGTTTGGTTCTAGGTAATAATGTACATACTATTGTCGTTGGCCTCATCTTTAATTTGGGATTTTAAAGATCTTTAGATCCGGGGTAATCTCAGTCTAATTTAAGTTTGATGGAAAAACAGTTAAGGTGATGGCTAAAATCTACATTTTAAGGGAAGTGTGTTTTTAAATTTGAAATAACTTTTTTGTTTTTAACCGACTTCAGAAAAGGAGGAGGTTCTCAATTCGTCTGTATGTTTTTTTTGTATGTATGTTACGCGATAACTCCGGTATTTGTGAACCGATTTTCAAGATTCTTTTTTTGTTGGAAAGGGGGTACTTCCTATTAATGTAATTAATTAAGGTAATTTTGAACAAAATCATCTACCTCAAAGAGTGGCTGTTCTCGCATGAAGATTCATTTTTATAAATAGCGCCTAACTTTAATTTAGGAGCAATTACTTTAATGGTTGATTTTGCTATTTCTCTAACTCAAGGCATTTTTCTTTCAATATACTTTGAGTAGTGAGAACCGATTTTTATTATCTCCTGTATAGTGGCGAACTAGGGGATATTTCAATAAAACTTAGCAAATAGACGTAATTCTACGTACTTTTGAGGTTGTTTTTTTAGTGCTCTGTACTGATCACTATTAAACATATTATATCAATAATGATTAGTTTACTTGACACATATAATCCTCAACAAAGATTAAGCTGTGGTAGGTTTCATAAAATAGCTATTAGGTATAATTATTATCACTAGAAAACCTAAACTAGAATTTCTCTAAATCTCCAGTAATGAACACCAATAATCCACTAATTATCTAACCAGGAATCGACAGTTACCAATAATGAATACCTAGTAATTGACCTTACCATACAAAACGTGTTGCTATAACGGAAAATTTTGCCCTAAATCTTATTAAAAAATAATTTACGTCACTGGCGTCGGTCACTGGTGCTACCACCATACGAGACAAAAATATATCTATACTGTATTTACATACATGGCGTGCAAGAAAGGAGCCTCTTCACAATGGCATATGAATTGTGTTCCCAGTTTATCTGGCGCACCACCCTGTGCAACAATCGGCGAATACCGTACGCCGATAGGGAAATTCTTTCACCAAAATAGCAAACATAACAAAAAAAAACTTAATTTGTTGTATAAATAAGTCAATACCGTCAGATCGGGACTATTGCCGTTTTGTGGCATCTCTGTTTTTGTTTACCAAGATATAAAAGAATCCTCAGAGATTAAATTTACATCAGAATGTGAAGATACAATTAATATCCTTGGGAGACGCATGTGTTGCTGCTATGTAATTGACACTGTTTTTACCTTGAATTCTGAACGAAAGTAATACTGTCCTGAGAAACAGGAGGTTTGAGGAAATTCGCGATGTGGTTGCAGGAGTGAAGGTTTATGCACTCGCCCTGCTGGCCGTCTGGCGTGAAGCACAAGTTACTTTGATCAGATTGTTCGAATGTTGGACAGCAAACCTGGAAATAAATAATGGTTTTTTAATTAATTGCCTTTTTGTAGTCACTTTTTGCTTCGTGACGGTAAAAAAGATACAAATTGCCTACACAACTCTACAGGGCAGGTCTAATTCTTCTTTTCAAATAGTGGTTGTAGCTTTACTGCGGTCGCCAGGCCACTTGCCAAGCGTGGCGTTGGCTAATCGTGTTTTCCTGAAAAAACATTGTATGCTGGTGTTATGTTTATGCAGTATCACTACTGTTATGACCTTTGACACCGGTTTGCGATGTACGACTAGCTGGTTGACGTATCTGTTTCTTTTTTCAGCTGATATTGCCAGACTGGTCTAAAAAAGACAGCCTCTACAATGACCCTCTGTTATCAACTTTGCCATAACGATGTCCGTCTCTTTTCGTCAATCAATATCATGATGTCGATTGCTTAAAAAAGTTCGGCTTCTAAGTTTTCGAGTAGTGGTTCCACTTACCTTTGGTGTACTCCCATCAAACCCGCAACTAGAGCGTCTCAAGGTATCAAGCTCTTTGTGAGATTTATTAGGTTTATTCACGATACTTAAAAGTTCGCTGCAGTCGTACAAAGATATACATCTGCCCGTACCACTCGATGGCGTCGTGCATGACTCTGGAATGAATAATAAAGTTAGATTTGCTTTGAAAACTAAAGACTAACACGGTAATTCGAGGGGAATGTATACTCTGATCGCGTGATCTGTTGCTAAAGGAAACGGATAAATTTCAATGTGTAACTTTTATCACGATATCGATGTCGCAACCGATCGCCTCTAAATATAATAAAATGAAGTACAGTATTGTTAGTAGTAGTGTCATTATTTTATTTAAGAGGTTTTGTAGCGAATCGGTAAACACAATTTATGGCACAAAATTATTAATAAGAGTTGTATTTTTTTACAAATAATATATTATAACTTACTGTAGTAATTGTTTTGTAATTTGTTCCAAAGAAAAAAACTGAAACAGTATTAAATAATATCGTGATCTGTTGGGAAACTATTTGAAATATTTTTTCATGTGAATCGAATCGCGCGATCGGTTGCGATAAATTGTACGGAAAATGGGTGATGGAAACTGATATCGTGATCAAGTATGAACATTGAAGGTTATCAGTTTCCACTACCAACCGATACGCGATCAGAGTATATATACCTATCCGACTCCAGCTTTCAAAGCGATACAAATTTCAAGCTATTCGATAAAAATATATCGTATCGTACGGAATTTCGGTGCATTCGTAATTTTTTCGCAGGGATTTTCAATTACAATCTAGAGTTTCTAGAGAGCGCATTGAAACATAAAGTAGATTTTGGTTAAATTTTTGTGCACTCTGATTTTTGAACATTCCAATAATTTTAATGTGGATTGAAAAAACGGAGTAAATTGATATGTTACAAGATTATGATGACCTTCTTTGGAGTGTTAAATACTGATTAAATGTACAGTTATCCATGAAACATTGCAAATGGACAGTAGAAATATGGTCAGTCAAATTATAAAAATGTTACAGGCGGCTGGTCTGCGTTAAGTCAAGAAGTGCTTTGGAATAAAAAATATTTCCTCAGTGGGACAGAAGCCGAAACCTATAAAAATATTAATAATTTGACTTGATTGGAACTGATACACATGATAGCACGATAATAATATTTTCAGACGAAAAATTTCGTTGCAGTTAGACACCACCATGCAGTAATAAATCCTCCCTTATACACAAAAACTTAAATAATGCCAACACCAAAAGCACAATGTACATGCAAGCACAGAATAACCCAGTAAAAAATAGGTGATATATATTATTATACATTGTGTTATTAGTAAATATACTTGAAATATGTACATAAAAGTTGAAGACAGTGTTTAATCTACCAGAACAGAAATGTTATATGTATACTGTGCGTATGAGTTCGTAGTTGTTAATAATGTTATATTTGATATATAAGATTGTAGAACTGACAAATTTTACAAATAATTTATTTATTTCGTAATAATATTTGATTTTTTTATAATATTAAGTGACGGGACGAACAAATCGTCCGCCTTATGGTAACTACACGCCTCTCCGTAACAGTTGCAGTGCCACTCAGAGCTTTAAATCGCAAAGATCTGAGGGGCACTGCTACTGCGCCCGTCACCCTGAGACATAAGTTGGCAAGTCCCATGTGCCTGCAATTTCACCAGCATCTTACCCTTTTAAACTGGAACACAGTAATGCTGTCATTACTGTTTGGTGGCAGAAACAGGTAAGGTGGCAGTACTACCCTGGATGATCTCTTTCACAAGGAGCTCTACTGCTACTAATATAGGAAATACTGGACTGATATAGGAGAGGTGGATGATATAAGTTCGCGGATTAAGGTACCTACTTCGCAAAAAGTCGTCATCTGTCTACTGATAACATTATAATCATAGTCTGTCTTTTGTGAAAACAGAGTAAAATGACATTTGCAATTTAGTTTTCATAATTTTTTTAGTCATGTAGTTGGTGCTGACGACATTTATATCGATAGATTGTGAAAGAAGGTAAAGTTCACAGCCCAATTGTGAATTTTACGACGTCCTAATGATTACTAATTGCGTTATTGCCTTTATTCTTATTTTGACTGTTGGACTTGTCATGTGTTGAATGACAGGCGGATTTGATTATCTATACACAATTAAAATGATTTGAAATATGTCGCCTCTTTGTACCTTTAATAGGTAGGCATATTAAATGTAGTGTATGTATGTACCTATAAACTTATAAAATTGACATCTCAAATGAACCTGTGTGCCCAGCATTTGCTCAGCATTGTCTATTCCGGAATTACGATGATTCAAATGAAACACGTTGGGCTATCTATTGCATAAGCGTAATCAATAGGCAGTCGATTGTCGATAGAATATTTATCGACTGCAATCTCTAGCTGCGTGCAAGTGTTCCCCACACTGCGCAATGAAGACTAATTTTACTCCACCTTCAAAAAAGACACTATAGTTTACACACATCGAGTATATAACCAGAAATAGAGACGAAATGTCATTTAATTTGTTTGAAAACTATTATGCCACATCATTACTACGACAACAGCGCTCTTTCTTTGAATTCGAAACAATTGACGAGTGTCGTCAATTGTTTTACTTCAAATCGACCTTGAGCGTTGCTATAATGGACGAAAATTGCAAAATTACATACTTAATTTTTGATTACCGATGAAATGTGATTCCGTTTGTTTTGTAATTAGATGTTTTGCTGTTTTTCCCACACCACCTAATGGAACAGTCCCCATTGTTAAAGATATTATTGTTATTACAATAAATAGTTAGAATATTTTTGGAATATACGGAGACGTACACACAGGTCAGTTGTTGGCGCTGTACTATTTCATTTTCTGATTTGTGATTTCAGCGCGAACGTGAGTTGATATTTAAAAGTGATATAAGGCCCATTTGCCTGATGAGCTGCCAGGAATGGATGGCCCTTATTTCGTCTCTGTTTCTGGTTATATACTCGATGATTACACATTACAATTATAAACGTGATTGAAGCATGCATTCGTCAGTACCAGAAAATTCAAAACGGAAAAGTCGTCAACTAATCTCATCGGCTATAGTAGTGATTTTCTGGGATAGCAAGGAAATTATGTTAATTAAATTATTTATAAACTTAATGCAATTTATAGTTAAAAAAAAAAACTAAAGTAAAATGACAGTTCATTGCGTAACAGTGTCGCCCTCTAGCGAACAGCTAGTGCTTCCAGTCGATAAATGTTCTATCGTCTGTCGACTAAACATTGCTTACGCTTATGCTGAACTACTTGTTTCACTAGAATCATCATCCGTCCATATTCGTCCCACTGCTGATCACGGGTTCGTTTAAATTGAAGTCTATGCTATAGTGTTACAAGTTCTTCCCAATGCTAACCACATCCTACTAAAATGTGTTATAACCGTCGCACTTTATTATGTAATATGTTAACACGTTCGTCGCCGGTTGTAAAAATTCAAAAATGTTAAAAAAATGACCTTGGCTTATATAATTGTTTTTGGTCTCATTTGTATATGTAGGTATATAAGTCTTTTAATTATTTGGCTCTATTTTGGGATTTAGTGCCGGACATTTCAACCCGGCGCGACGTGGCCTAAACGGAATAGGTTTAGGTGCCGCGCCGGCCACAATGCCGGACAAAGTAAAACTGACATGCGTCTTTTACTTTAGAATGGCATTCCACATTTCTTGCTTTGCTTACTTTGTAACTTTACAATTCAATTTGGAATTAAAGTATTTTTTTAAATCGAAATAATTTCTTTCCTCTAAGTCTAGAAAAGCAGGTTGTCATAAAAAAATCTTCAAAACCAAGTAGCAACAGAAATTCGTTACAGTATACGATTATCGAAAGTATATATGTGCGAACACACACACACGCACACTCTTATTTACAAGGAAATTAAAATGTGTGTACAGTACAATAATTTATTAATACCCAATATTGGAAGAATCACTAACACCTAAGATGCAGGTTATCCTAGTTAGGAGTTAGGGGATCATTTTTAAATGGCATTTCTTCTCTTCTTTACAACTATCGTATTATGTTCTCATATTCCTTGTTATATCATTGTTTTTCTTAATGAAATAAATTATTATTATTAATATATATAATTTACTATAAAAGTTTCTTGGTGTAAAGTTTTGCGATTTTTACTCTTTCTCGTGGGCGACAATCACCTCACCATTAATTAATTAAATAAATAAATAATAAAAATACATTTATTTATCCACATAAACAAACATAAGGGAACAATTAAAACAAAAGAACTGTAATGTCGACGAAAAGGATGAAGACTCAGAATTGCTGATTTTCAGCCTTCATCTTAAAGCTATTGCATGCATCAGATCTGCAAGCGGATTGTATACTACACCAAGCAATTAATAATAAAATTTCGCGACTGGAACCGACTAATTCACGACTTTTTCTGGGCGCTATCAGAGCTGTGATTCTCGAGATGCAAAAATGGAATAAGTTTATTTCAGCGTGGACTGTAAAACACCTTAATAACTTCAAAACGGCGTAACGACTAAATCTTGTTTTTTTACGACTAGAACCGTCTAAACCACGACTCTTTTAGTGTAATCATATCTAAGTTTGGTGTTGTAGTTCTCGAGACTGAGGAATTGTGCCGCTGGAATAAGCTTATTGCAGCGTGGACAGTAAAACACCCTTATAACTTTTGAAAGGTGGACCGAGTAAATCTTGTTTTTCGCGACTAGAACTGACTGAATAGCGACTTTTTTCTGGCTATCAATAAAGATATCAAATTTTCAAAACTCAACCCCAGCACGCTGGAATAAGCCACGCTAGTGTTGGTAGTGTATTTGCCACCGACCAATTGCTACTCGATTTCTGCATAGACAGGAGCCGTTGTTTACACCTTTTTTTTGTAATAATATACTTATGTAAAAAAAGGAAAATTTCGAATTCAAAACAGTTTAAACCGATTTCATCGTTATTCGTAGAAACTTGAAATAATGTCATACGAGAACGAGGTTATAGATACATTATATAATCACTTTTAAGCAAAATTCCAATATAAAGCTACGATTATATTTAAAAAGAAGCTTAATTATGTTATAAAGAAGGCGAAAAATATGACCAAATAACAGGAAATCAAAATTTTACAGAGTTCTATACTGCCGTCCTTATCGAGAACAACATAATCACCATTTTTAGTGAAATTGAGGTATTAACAATTATAGTTATCTGGAATCGGTGAAACCAAAGCAACAACCCCATATAGGCCGGTTTTTGTATCTTATATTGGTAAGCAAACTCAACGTAATTGAAATTTTTCAAAGAAAAAAACTTTAGATGTCATTATCTCGAAAGTTTAATGCGCTATTTATGTCTATGAGAGCAGTATAGGGACTAGAGCTGACTGCCAATTAAATAAATTAATCAGTTTGCAATCCATTTATTGAAAATATTTTTTATTTGAGTGGTTTGTATTTAATTATTAAAGCAATTAATTTAAGTTGAGCCATCTACTCTGCAATCGATCGTTGAACATCTCCACCGAGGTGCATTTGGCACGTTGCTACGTGTCCTCGGCTCTTTTGTATCAGCAACAGCTTAGAAGCCTACGAAATGCGGGTATTTGGTATACAGAAGAATTTTGACAATATCACAGGCGGATAGTGTAGAAGAAATCAGAGGTCTTGTGTACTTTCAAAAAACGCAAACTTACAGTACTTTGGTCATATCGTCGGGGATAGTGTGATATACGGTAATCTATTTTTAGCAGTCCGTAGACAACATAATTTAATGCTTACTGTGCAAAAATGAAAGCCGTGGCCATTGAAATAACAAAGTAATAACGTTAAATCCCTCTCCTGTGAAATTAGGTTTAATGCAGACACGCGTCTTTTGCTAATACTACCCCCGACTATATTATAACTGATTATGCAAAGAAAAATCCAGAGAAACGACCACCTGGAAGAGGGCGTCCTTCGTGCCTTAAGAATTTCCGGACATGGTTCCTGACCTGAGCAGAAAATCCTTGTTCCGTGCAGCTGTGTCTAAAATACAGACAACGATGATAGCCGACTTCCAGTAGGAGATGGCACCTCAAGACAAAGAAGATTAAGGCAATACTGACAGTATTATTCACAAAAGCATACAAACGCTTTCCAACTCAAGTGTGCTTACCATCCTCTGTTTGTACATTCGTTGCAGGGAATGCTATCGCGTCATTTGGACCTGCTAAAGTGCAAAATCTACATTGAGTTTCTATACTACAGTAACTTAAGTACACTTGTAATAACCTTATAAAATTGACTCCTTGTTACAGCTTGGTGCCTTTTGCGGTTGGAAACCGGGTGCCATTGGCGAAACTTCTAGCGACCGAGCTGTCAGATTGCCTCGTAGAAACCTCCTGTGACCACAAGACTGGCAGTTATTGCCAAAGAATAAGTTTAGACATTCAAAGGTGAAATGTTGTCAGCTTTCTGGGCACTATGTCACAGGGTACGGCATTCGAGGAATAATTTCTACTTATTAAGTTTAAATACTATATTATAATTATATTATATATATATTATATAATAATTTATGTTTTATTATTTTTCAATAAGCTTAATAATAGACACTTATAAGTGTCGGTATTTTTGAAATTATCTGTTAAGATATAAAGATATAGATATAAATAACGCACACACGCAACATAGCCCCGCACTAGGGAAACCCTGTGTCGCGGGTGCCATGGACACACACATAGACAACCACAAATTACACCCAAACTCACGAGAGAAATTATTGTAGGCCATACAACTATTTCTCTCGGCCCGGGAATCGAACCTGGGACCTCTACGTGGCAGTCCGGCATGGTAACCGTTCGGCCACGGAGGCAGTTAGTTTATGATATTTCTCCCTCTTGCTATCTTGCAGGCTGTTGCCAGCTTATGAATTTTGCTCTCACTGCTTTGGATTGGGTGGAACAGTATTATTGTACATTTATGTCCACCTTTGCTAATTTTTAACATATTTAATATTTCTTATGTATTTGTTTCGTGCAATAAAGAACGTATAAATATCTTAAAAATAATATGTGCGTAAGAGATTTCAAATTGTATTTTATTTACTGAAGTACTTTTACAATGAAATTAAGTAAACATTGTAATTATAATTGAATTTCATGTTAAACGTCAACAAATACAGATAAATAATACGCATTCTCCTAATACAACAATTTGCAGATCTTATTAACAAAAAAACAAAAATGAAACAATCTTACGACGCGTTACCTTTCAACATTTATATTACGAACGGATATGGAGTGGTATTCCTTGCCTGCAAACATATTCCCTGAACGCAATAACTTGGGCCTTTTCAATAAAGCGCGAGATCTCTGTGCGAGAAGAGTATTCTCGCACGAGATATCTTTGCGAGAATCTATGCGAGAATAGCAATATTAAACTAACAATGTCAGTAACAGGTACAGTATACAGGAAATGTCAATATGGATTCTGAATAACTAATGAATCTAAATTAAAGTATAATACGGCGAGTGTAAAATTCATTAATAAATATAATAATTTAATTGTTTATAATAGTACCTATATAGCGTATTTGTATGGCTACATATTGCTTAAAAAATTATTACACCATTTGCATCAAAGGTTAATAACCAATAAAGGAGTAACAATCTTTTTCCATAAACCGACACTTTAAATTTACATCATGTGGAGGTTATGAAACATTTTTCCTTATATTGACCACCGATTTTGTTTTTTCCTCAAATTTTGTAAATTTATTTTATCTTTTGCCAGTACCAGTTTTTATTTCAAAGGTACGAATAAATACTAATTAATACGTTGAATGCTGTTTGAAGCCTTAGCTCTGAAGATATATATATGATAAAATTCGCAACACTACATTTATTTACCCGCTGCAGTAGTCCCGTATCTTTTGACATTTGTTTTGATTATAGTGACCCACCCTGTCCACCTCTTGGTTATGCGGGAAAGGCAAATCTAAATGAGTACCATCTTTTCTTAACAATAGTGGCAATGTTCCAAGTTACAGTGATCCTGTTACATGGAACATTGCCAAGACTTTCTTTACACGCTCGTAGGCACTAGGAAAACCCTGCATGGACGCTCATATAAACAACGACAAATTACACCCAAACTAAAGAGAAATGAATGAAAAATGTACGCCATACAAAAGACTATTGATATACAGTTTATGAACATCCCACTAACCAGTTAAAAAACCTTTTTACATTAAAAATTAGAGAACTAGAGCAGTTTGAACTGTTTGGAAGTAAAAATTGTTGATTGCCTATAGGTAATATCACATATGGGTAATATATTTTACTAGACAGTGTTAGGACGCGTACCCTTTGTGTCGTGACAACAGATAGTCATGTGTCGTGGCTTGTATATTTAAACGAAGTTGTTAACATTAAACAACACGATTAACTCTCTTTCACGACTTTTTTGACGTGAAGACGACAGACTGTCAAGGCTATGGGAAGAGCTAGAACGACAGTCGTCTGACGATAAATAAAACGTCACTATTAAAATGTGACGACAGATAATCGCAGCTACTATTGTCGTCAGGTTTTAGTTATCGTTATCTACAACATGTTCTACTCCCTACTCTCCTTTCGTCTCCCGCGCCTCGGTCTGTGCATCAAACGATTCTGTCGTGCAAACGACAAGGCGGCTGCCGTGAACCGAAAAATTGTCGTCACGGTGCAATGAGAATACACGATAAAAAACACAACCACGACAGACAGTCGCGATATGGGAACAGGCTAAAAGCGATAGTCGTCTAACGATAAATAAAACGTTACGACATAATGGGACGCCCTTACTGTACTTTATTTTTATAATTTTACAACATGTTGTATATTGCAAAGGACCTGTTACACCTTGAAGAAGTGCTGGGTGCAACCCGAGATGCCGCTATAATGCTTGGATTCTTATAGGTGCTTTTACAACTTTACAATTTACCTACATTTTGTTATTACATTGTAATTGTATAGATTTCTGTTTAATAAAAATTGCGAACTACAAATTATTCATGATAAAAAAACTGTAAATGTGTAAAATTATATTTTTTATTGAATATCATAATGTTTTTATTACTATTGATACAAAGACCGAACAAACACAAAGAAAAATCCCTTCGACCCGACTCAATGTTGTTGGGACAGACGCTGGGCCCCGATTCAGAGCTCTTTGACATTTCAGTCGAACGTTTAACTGAATATCGTTATCCAACAGCGTTTTGCGGAGTTAGTCGGTGAAACAGATATATAAGAAAAATGAAAATCCTTTTATATATAGGAAATGAAACTATTTTTCCGGATTTAAATCACGTATATTTGTTTTTTCAAACAAACCGACGTTTCGGGCCCTTTACAGGTCAAGTCCCATGGTCACGGTTGACTGAGGTGATTTAAATTCGGAAAAATAGTTTCATTTCCTATGTGTAACAATCGCGAAAACCTAAGAACTCGATATCCTTTTATATACATTTTGAATACTTTAAAGGCCTAAAATACAGGAATGCATTAGTCTTGCATTAAAATAAATTAATAAAATTGAACAAAATCCAGACTTTATTTAAAATAAAGAGATTTTCATAGTATTCTTGCTTTGTAAACATATACATTTTATTCGATAATTGTGTTCTGAAGTGTACCGGTCGAGAAGTTCGAGTAATCGTACCGGTGTGACGTCATTTCGGTTCGGTTTCGAATACGACAGTTGGACGTTCGATTCGGGTATTGTGAATAAAAATCTGTCGTCCGCTGAGTGAAATGCAGCTAAGTGATAAAATATTTTTTTGAGATATCATAAAAAACCATGGCCTAGTTTTAGAACATTGAAATTGTTTTATGATATTTCAGCTATACGTACGGACGGATAAACGAAACGGATATTTGTCCAATTGTCACATAGCCGCGTTTTAGTTAGTGGACTACAGAAATGTAAAGAAATCGTACGATTTCAAATCGAATCGCTCGACAACTGAGTTATCGTTAGGTTCTGAATCGACCCCCTGGTTCGAATTCAATCGGGATGAAAGAA